CCTACAAACGGGACCACCCAACGGGACCACCTACAGGGCTGACCAACGTCTACAGGGCTGACCAACGTCTATTCAGCAGACATCCAGGCTAAAACCAAACTCACCTATTTTGAACAGTGCCTATCGTGTAAGATTAAACTAATCTCACTTATATATATATATATATATATATATATATATATATATATCCAATCAAAGGTTGTAAGTAAAAAAAGAAATATTATTGCCCAACTTCGAATTCTAATGGAAGTTCAAATGGATTTGGAATCAACAGAATAGTTGACTATTTGGTAAAAACTGATAAACTTGGGTCAAAATCTAGCTGTTATTTTTTACATAATAATTAAAACTTGGGTCATATAAATGCTAAGAAATTACAATTATGTCGATGCACTTTTGATTGTACAAGCAACACAACAAATTGGATTGTGCACTAATGAATTCTAGCATAAAAATAAAATTAAGAAATACAAATAAACAGCCGCAAAATTTAATGTCCAATGTTCACAAATAGACAAACTATCGATTTTTGAAATTATTTTTATGGTGAGTGTGAGGATTTAACTAGATTGCAATAGTGCTACTTTGGTGGTGATGGTGGTGACTTAATGCATTTCAGTGGATGTAGACGGTATGATGGTGACTTCTCTTGTTTTCTTTGTGGTGGTGGTGAATGGCGACGGGTGGTGCTACTGATTTTGGCAACAGTGGTCTAATTTTTTTTTAAATGGTGGAAATGGGTTGTAAAAGGATAGTGGTGGTGGTGGTGGTCCCACAATGACGACGGCATAATATTGAATGTTACAACTATTGGTTGTGATGGTGTAACGATGAGTGTTATAAGTTACAGTTTTACAGACCGCAAGTTTCGCTTCCAATGTCCTTTACCTCAGGGCAGCCTTAGGTCGACAAGTTTAATATAACTAGCAACATGCATGCTTATAGTTAAGATGTTAGACAATACCTGCATATGATGATACTGTTAGTGCACTATTCGATAATATAGGCTATATAACGAATTGTTGATGATCTTGTTGTCCTTATGGAGAGAGGAGCACTCTTGGTACGTGACATCCTTCCCTATTTAATCCGCTAGACGACCTCATAGTGATAAGTGATCTTTGCATCAACGCACGTTAATCTCATTGCTAAAATAATTGTGGCATCATGTTCTCATGAATGGTCATCCACACAGTGATCCCTTGCACATCTAACCCTAGTAACTCTGTACAATTCCTCCAGCATCAACACAATCTCCATTGTGATTTGTTTGCAATGTGTGCTCCATCAAACAAAATAACATAGCACATAGGCCCATTCGGACAATATGTTCCTTTATCATTCATCATTCCCAAAACTTCGTTCATCTATTCGCTTGCTTATTGACACGGTCTATAACCCCAGAATCTTTTCTACCAAAACACACGTCGTTGATCTCCCACCACCAACAATATACATTCAAGTAGTCCTATTCTTATACCAACTTTCACGGACCGCAAGTTTAGCCCTCAGGATTTTGCACCTTGAGGCAGCCTTCTTATCATTCTTAGGCTGACAAGCTAGAAACAACTGGTATACATACACACTTATAGGTAGAATGGTGAACAATACTTACATATGACAATATCGGTAGTGCACCATTTGATAATATAGGTCACACACCTAGCTATTAATGACCTAATCGTTAAGAGTACTTTCAGTGCGTGAAAATTGTGGTGTGGCCAAAGGTCACTGGACAGTAAAGCTTGCCAAGGATATAAACATATTTAATATGATTGATGCATTATTATTTAATTAAATTACTATTCTGATAAATTAAATTAATAAAGTCTATAAATTCAAGTATTGGTAACTTATTAATTACAAAGAGTTGTTATTGTAAGATACAAATTACATATGATTAAATATTAAATTATATGCGATCATAAGTAATAACAAGGTACAAATATCATTATTTCAGATACATCAGTACTTGTAACATTTCTCACTTGTGAAGTGAGTAATTGATCTCACAAGTTAAAAATACTTAAATAGGCACATGGGTGTTTTGTTAAGAAAACAAAACATTGGACGCTCGCTACAGAAAATTCCACATGGATAATTATCTCGTATCGGTGGTTAATCTCTAAAAATCGGTAGTGAAATTGATCTTTCAACTTGGATCGCCATAGTACCTTATATGAGGTCCATCGTGCTTCGATGAAGTTGGATGTTGCTCCACCAAGAGTCTTCAATAATATATCGTTTGAGTATGACAAAAATCATATGAAGGTTGTGAATTATCAATTGAAGATTCGTCCTCTCTTAGAGAGTAAGCAATTATGACATGCATTTCATTCTCTTAAATTGATATTGAAATTCTTGGCCAAGGAAAGTTACTAAGTTCATAAGTCGATAAGAGTTTCAACAAGAACTTGAAGAATGATATTACATTTGTAGAATTAATTAATTGAATTGTGTATTTAAGAGTCAAGTTTAATGAATTAGATTAATTAACTAATGGGCCAACTTATGTTTAATGGATGGATCAAGTTCACTTATATCTATAAATATACAATTAATATTTAGAATATTTATTTGTAATATTTATTATCTTGTTAGCACAAGGAAAAAATCCTAATATTTCATTCTTGTTCTCTTGTGTTGATTTTATTAGACGTTGAACAATTGGACAACTATAATGTGAAAAAATGGTTGTAGATCAAAATTTGCAGAGAGAAGATTTCATGATTATTCGTGATTAAAATTCTCCAAGAAGTTTGAAGAATTTGGTAAAGGCGAAATTCTATTTACGATTTCTATCAAAACATAAAGACGAATCTTGAAGGAAATCGAAAAATATTTTAAATTATATTGTGCATGTATAAGTAAGTTCCCAACAAGATTGTGTATTGCACAATGTGTTGCAATTGATAGCATCAGTGACGAAAATATGGTGATGAAATGTATAATATAATATTACAAAATGTAACACATTCTTTTATAAAATTTGTTGTAAAGAAATTAAAATAAAAATATAACAAAAAAAAAGTGTTTTAAAAATTAAAAGTAAGAATGGAATTAGTACATTTTTCGAAGATATTTGCGAATTGTTTTCATTTTAACTTCTTTTGAATTTTGCAGGCTGGCCAGCAATGTCCTTCGTCGTAAGATAACCACAGCCCGTTTGACACTCCAAAAGAGCATCTCGAAGTTTAACTCCTTCAAATTCTATCCCTTCCCTTATTTGATAGAAATTAAGCCTATTTGAAGCCCATTCTTTATATATATATACATATTCTCTAAACAGTGATTTGACATCATTTCAATTACACATTCTTCAATAAAATGATATTATACACAAATATAAAATTTTTCCTTATTTTTTAACCACATTTTCCATCAATGCACTATTCAAAAATACATTTTTATGAAAAGATGAACTCAAACAAGGGCTAAAATTCAAATTTTAATATAGGGTAATTGGCGAAAAACGTCCCTACCTTTTGAGTGTATTGTGAAAAATGTTCATACCTTTCTTTTTTGACATTTTTACCCCTATTTTCACCTTTCTTTGCGTCGAACGTCCTTTTCATTGTTTTTTGGTATAAAATGACCAATATGCCCTCCTATTTAAATAAAAGAAAAAAGAAAAGAAAAGAAAAAATTGCAACAATAGGCAAAACTTCTAAAAAAGTTCAAATACCCCCCATAACTTCACCTTCTGCCCACACCTCACCCCCACATTATCGCCACTTGTAAGCCATTTTCAGCCATCTTCCGGTCAGCTTGGCCATCAGACCAACATATCAACTTGAAGGCCTCACTTCTCTCTTCACAACCCACCCGACTACTAGCCGAAAAATTGCGCCAAAATAGGCTACCCACGCAACTTCAACAGAAAAATCGACAAATTCAACTCCATTTTTCGACGTCGACGTCATGATCAACGACGGCGGACCACCCCTCCTAGCACCACCTCTTCAAGGAGAACCTAATGAACCTATGGGTCATTGTCAATTTTCACCAGAAATTGTAGAACCAAGCGATTTCTTCAACAACGAAATCGACAACTTCAAACTCGTTTTTCGGTGTCGGCATCACGATCACCGATCGCGGACCACCCCTTCTAGCACCACCTATTCAAGGCAAACCTAATGAACCTATGGGTCATCGTCAATTTTGGCCAAAAATTATAGAAACAGCTTCGACAGTTCGTACACAAAGAAACTCGATCGATCCCCTTTCAATTGATGATGCTACAGGGCTTCAATCCACCAATTCTAGCATGTAATCGTCAATTAATGTTGTCGCACGTATGGGTCCTCCATCAATTCATCAACCAAATGATCAATTTTCAAGATTGAACTCAAGAACTACTGGCCGAACACGAACTCCTATTTTCTAGCTGTAGATTTTGATTTTCAGCTTTGTTTGATGATATGAAGATATCTATAGGAGCGCAATTAGGAGCATAATCGACTTGGAAGATGGGTGTGCCATGGTGTCGTTGGAAATGGAGTTTTTGGCCTCCATTTTTGGTCGTTTCATGTTGAATGAGCAGCCTATTTTGGCGCAATTGTTCGGCCAATTCGTTTAGATTTCCAACCAATGGTTGGGTAGGTTGTGAAGAGGGAAGTGAGGGCTTCAAGTTGGTATGTTGATCCGGTGGCCAAGCTCACCGGAAGGTGGCTGAAAATGGTCGGCAAGTAGCGATGGCGTGGGAGTGAGGTGTGGGAAGAAGGTGAAGTTTTGGGGGGTATATTTGCACTTTTTTAGAAGTTTCACCTATAGTTGCAATTTTTTCTTTTCTTTTCTTTTTTCTTTTATTTAAATAGGAGGGCATATTGGTCATTTTACACCAAAAAATAGTGAAAAGGACGTTCGGCGCAAAGAAAAGTGAAAATAGGGGAAAAAATGTCAAAAAATGAAAGGTAATGACGTTTTCCACAACACACTCGAAAGAGAGGGACGTTTTGGACCAATTATCCTTTTAATATAAGTTAAAGTCAACAACTAATTTTCATCAAACATTTTATGGGATCCATAACTTTTCAATCATATATTTCATTAATTTGAGAACAAGCTTTGGCTAACTTATTTCAGATAAATGTAGCCTGCTCTAAATTCAGCAAAAATGAAATCCAACGTAAAATGTCTATGCTTTCTATTATTCTAAAATACTCCTTCTCCTTCTCCTTCTCCTTCAATAAATTATGTACGACATCAAGAAACCGTCCAGACTAGCCTCAAATTGTTAGAGTCTCCTGTTGTTTACACCTCCTAACGTTAATTCTCAGTATCCCATGATTCAGACTTCTATTTATATCACAGCACTTTCTTCGGTTTCCCTGCATATTATTAATTTTGTCAGGTGAGTTACTAAATAGTTGCCAAAGAAATACTATGATGCCAGAGAAAGACAAACCTTGTGCCATTCTTTAGGATCCATTTTTGATGCTGATACAATGACTTTTTCAATAGCTTCTGCTGCATTCTGTGATCTGCCGCACTTCTTCTTCACTGAATTAACCGTAAACTTCTTATAAATAGTCACAGTATTACCCTTCCCATCGTCGTTGGCCGAACTTAAATAAAAGACAACAGGCTGATTACACGGATCATCGCTCATTGCACGGGTTTTGAACTCGAAAGGTCCATCACTCCGACTCCGCCATGTTTGGAACGTTCGCAACGGCATTTCCAACTCCTTGGCTGTCAACAGTGTGGTATATATCTGCACGGTATAGCCCCACGAGACGGACACAGACCATTTTTGCTTCCGATGGTAGCATAAGCATTGCTGCAATGTTCGGGATGGGTCGAGTTGGTATGCCTCCATTAGTGTTCCTAATGATTCCAGCCGAGTCTGGTTTGGAAACAAAGGCTTTACATAATCAAGGTGATGAAGAGATACTATAGGCGCCATAGGGTGTGCTGCGAGAAATCCGTAAGGGTCGCCTCTTATATCAATCTGAAGAAATTCAGAAACATCAGTGTCATAAAATCAAGAAAGGAACCAAAGAATCTTAAAGAAACATGCAAATTAAAGAAATCTAATAGTAGTTGATAGCTCTTGCACAAATCAATACAATGCGTGATCGAATATTATAGGTGGGTAAGATCATACCATTTCTTATAGAGATAAATAAGCTTTTGCATCTTCTTAACTCAAAATGTAATGATTGGAAATAGGGACGGATTTAGTGCGGGGATAGCGCTCTATATTAGATTTAAAAATAAAAATAAAAATAAAAATAAAAACCTCAAAGTTTTCAATTTTTGCCCCCACAATACTTTTATCCTAACTCTCCATGATTGAAAATAGGAAATGTTGATTTTTTATGGTACTCCTACAAATAGAAACATGTGGCTACAAATGACACAGAAGTAAATATCTTTCCCTTTAATATTTGATTTTAAAAAAATTACTATTTAAGATGGCATACTAATAAATGTCATCCATCTAGATTCGTTATGATCAGGAGCCAACCTAAATAAATATTTAGTAATATTTATTCTCAAGAAGGAATAAAAATTAACAACTAATTTTACTACAATTACAATTCGTTAATGACAAAACTAAGAGAAAATATTACTTAAATAATTGTAAGAGTTTTCAACCAATAAACGAACACGACGTATAGTTAAGGACAAAATCAGAAAAGTGAATTCTTATATAATAGTAATGCATTCTTTCAACAAAAAGGTCCATTAACTAGTTGTCGCATCAACTACCCACGTTTGCCGTATTGCACCAACCCCCCCAACAAGTTCAAAACAAAATATTACGTACAACATTAAACTTTATATTTTAATTTAAATCAAAATAAAAAATTAATTTTAACTATATATTTTACGAAATTTACAATTTTTCAATCACATATTTCATTCACTTTTATTAAAAATCAAATTTTAATCTCTACAAAATAAAGGCTTAGTAATATTTTAGCCTGTTTATTTCCCATTTATGTAACATAAGAATGAAAAATATAGTCATTATCGACTCAACACAAAATATAAAAATTCAAATATGATAGTTTGATGTGATGGATAACGATCATATTTTTCATATGAAATCAAATTTGATAAAGGTTATATTAAATTTAAATCAGTAATACAGTGTATAACCGTTTTTGAAACGAATTGATTCGATTGTTAAAAGAAAATTAAACAAAAGAAAACAATTAATAACCAAGAAAGTGACACGTGTACGTACCTGGTGGAACCCTGGTTCTTTTGTAAGGGCTATTCCAATCTCGCCAACACATGCCCATACCCGTTGATCTGAGCCGTAGAAATAGTGATACCTATTAAGGCAGCCGTCCATTGCTCTGACTAGCTCCACCGCAAGCGGATAACTAATGGCGAAACCGCCACCGCCAAACGCCATGTCGTGGGCATGCATCACGTTCTGTTCCACACTCTCCGAACTCCCTCCGATGTAGTACATCCGACGGTGGTCGTATTTCGCTAACACCGTAACAAGGTTATCAGTGAAAAACACCGTATCATCATCGCCCATGACGAACCATCTCACGTTCGGCAACCCGACCCGGAAAAGGTCAGAAATCACACGGGCTATTCGGATTGCCGAGTCGGAGCCTGTCGAGTGTTTGAACCGGGTCCAGTCGGAGGATATCCTATAAGGAATGGAATTACCATTCCGTAGTGCTCTGGTGTCGAGTTTTTTGTCCAGCCAAACATAGCCACGTGTCACATTCGGTTTCCACCAGAGCTCCGAATAGCTTTTCCGGTCCTTCCACGTTCGGATCGACCCGCCGATACCAAATGCTATATGGGAAATGTTCGTTGGGGTGTAATCAGGACTGACTTGGACAACGTTTCGGGTTCGGTCCAGGTTGTCGTATTCGGGGCATCGGAACCATACGGGTTGGACCTCTCTGTGAAAAACCGAATACAGAAACAGGGAAATTGAAGTGACCATTAAGATTACAACAGCAACCTTCAACAAAGATTTCAAAAACTCAATATTCTTCTCCGCTGAAATCGAATTCAATGCTTTAAACTGATTTTGACCCGACTGCTCTCGGATCGTGCACATTTTTTCTTTGAACAGATGATCAAAACAGAAGGAACCCAGTTTGCGTGTTGGGTTTGAGTATTCACTTGAAGAGAGAGGGAACAAAAAACGTAAAAGTTTTAATTAAATGGAGGGACAAAAGTTAATACGTGGCGTTCATCGTACAAAGTACTGACGTTGTAAAGTCATAGCGTACTGTTTGGGCCGTTTTAGAGCAGAATAGGCCAGCCAAGCCCATCTCCATTAATAAAAGTTCAAATTTCATAAATTACTATCGTTGTCACGTGCATCGTGCGAATTTTATATTTAATATATTTTTATTAATGTCAAAATTATAGTATAGAATATTGAATAAATTCAATAACGTGTAAAAATTCAAGATAGACAATTACTACATTTTCTATAGAATTGTGAATCACGTAAGTTTATTGAATATTGTGGTACACATTAGATGCTAAATATTGTTGATGAATGAAAATTTTCATTTTATTTTTAAGAAATTGGAGCAAAATGTTGAACAAATATTTAAAAAGTAATAACCATCTTCTTTATTTAAATTTGCTACTTGCATTTGTATTAAACTATTAATAAATTATTATTATTGACTTCGGTTTAATAACGCAAATTTATGTAACAGACATGGTTAATGGCTAGGAATTAGAATTAGTCACTTTATTCCGTTTACGAGTTATTATGTCGACACATTAATACTAGTTTGCTTATTTGATTTTTTTTTAAGTTTAAAAAAAAAAAAAAAAAAAGTAAAAGCACTTCTAGAAAATCTCAAGTTTTTATAAAAAGCAACTTCTAAAATGCTCAAATATGTTTTGCCAAATCCGGTTCTATATATATATATATTTTTTCTAATTTCTAATTTCACCTTATTCCAAAAAAAATTCTTACAACTTTGGCTAGATCGTGATCTCGTAAAATTCGCTCAATTTATTGCTATATGATGCTCATCTTGTGAAGACAAGTAGTCACAAAAGTCGGTAAGTGCTATATTTTGCAACATAAAGAATCTATTTCGAAGAGTTTTTAGCACTATCTCATCATCCTTAAATTTTCTTTCATTTTTCTGATTGACTAATACAATACATATGGTCAAAATTAATGAACAAAGGAAAATTATAACAAAAATTGAACTTTTGATAATAAAAACATAAATTTAATCTCATTGTTTCACGCAGTAATAATCAATATGATTATGTGGATTGATTATATTGGGATAAACTTCACAGCTTTTAAATATTTTAATAAAAAATAACCCAAACACTTTTAAAAAAAATTTTAAATCATTTTATTTTGGATTATTCATTATGTTCTTGATACAATATCAAGAAGAGGCACGTTTTGCCCCTAGGGCACATCTCCAAGTGATAAAAGAGGAGGGTGGAGAAATCCAACTTTGCTTGAGGCTGTTGTGTCAAGGGTTCGAATCCTGAAATATGGATTTGGCTCTTGGGTAAGTGCAAGTGTACAAGCAGCCTTCCACCCTGTACCCTTGGAAGCATAACTTACGATTTACCTCCCTCACGATGCTCCAGGGCAGAGGTGGTGGGGGACCCTTAAGGTTAGGATTTAACCTTTTTTTTAAGAAGAGGCACGTTTTAGCCCCTTTGACAACCATTAAAATTAAATGAAAAAAAAATCAAGCGGGTTTCGTCAGTTGAGATTGAAATGGATTTTTAAAATTCTTCTAAATTTAGGTGTCCTCAATTAAAATTTTAATGAATTTTAATGAAATGCATTAAAATTCAAGTGTCCACCAATTGAGACTTTTAATGAAATTCAACGAAATCCTTTACAGTTTAGATATCATCAATAACTAGTAAATTTATAAAGATTTCATTAACGGATGAATTTCAAGGTTAAAAATACATACAACCAAATCTTTTAAAATTTCACCATATTTTATGAGATTCTTATAAAATTTATAGAAATCTATTCAAATCCACGAAATTTATTAGGATTTATAATCTTTTAAAATAATCAAAAATTTTAATTGAAGACACCCCACAAATTTATTTTCAATCACATTCTAACAATAAAATATATTACATGTAATTCAAATTTTTTTCTACTTTTAACCACGATTTCCCTAATACATGAATATTCTAAAACTCATTTTTTTTAAAACTAAAAATAAAAACACCTCAGAGTGTGTTTAATTGCCTTTAGTTTCCATAGAAAATGTCAGTTTTTCATTCAAATTTCTACTTTTAAATTGTTTGATGGACAACTTTTTCTTTAAAAATATTTCCCAACTTTTGGTCATGTAGCCATATTTTCCTCAAAAATAAGAAAATATTTTCTTTAGTGAGGGAGGATTTTTATTTTTCAAGTAATTAACTCTCAGTTTTTCTCTCTTAATTGTCCCTTCTCACATCTACCAACTAATAGAAAATGAAAAAGTATAATATTTTTCATGTTGAAAACTAAATAAATCAAACACATTTAATTAATAATTTTTATACAAATATGTTATTGACAATTGAATTGCCTAAAATTTATTTTCTTTCCGTGTGTTTGATTGCCAATATTTTTCATGAAAATGTGTTTTTTCAACCCAAATTCATAATTTTCTGCTGTTTGATTGCCATTTTTTCATGAAAAATATTTTCCTACTTTTATTCATTTGATCATATTTTCCTCAAAATGAAGGAAAATATTTTCTTTAGGGAGAGTAAAATTTTATTTTTCAGACAATTCACTCTCTCTTTCATCTATCCACACTCTCTCATACCAACTAATAAAAAATGGACAAGTATAATATTTTTTAAGTTGAAAATTAAATTAATCAAACACATATAGAAAAAAGGATGTGATGTATAGAAAAATGAGATAGGGGCACGTGGTTCAAATCCAATGATCACCACGTCATGCCCAAACTCCATAAATACCCTCCCCTTATAGAAGAAAAATGAGAGATATGTGGAACAATAAAAACAACACATATAGAGAAAAGGGGGAGTAAGCCCGAGAAAAAGAACGAAGAATGGGCATACTAATTTTTGGCACATCTTTTGAAGGAAAAATAAATACAACTCCATATATTTCTTGTCATTTGATTGTGTCCCTTTTCTATTCTCTTTTATCATTTACTTGCAAAAGTTGTGATCATGCTTGGGCTAGAGTATCGTCGCCTGTTTGCAAGCTTTCCAATCACTTTATCAATGCCCGAACTGTTTAGTCTCGCGTCGAAAGAATATCTCCTACATCCATTCTTTCGACTAATCAAATCAACTATCTAAACGCAATGGAGTTTACCCGCGTGGACGTGAGTAGGCCTGGCATCTGTTGGCGCCACTTTTGAGGTCAACAGATTGACGCCGTTTTTGGGAGACACTTGGAATAGCTAAACCACAAGTACCCCGTGGGATAAAGCCTTTGAACAAAAGGTAACGTTCTTGAAAAAATCGATACAAGGCGTGGTCGAGGTGTAGAAAGAAGCACTCAAAAATGAACTCTGCTAAATCCTTGAGTAAAGGAAAAGCAATCCTAGAAACAAAGCCAAAAAGTGGTTATATGTTGGGGAAGTGCAACCATGAGTTCGACAAAGGACGAAACTGGACCCAGGTAGGCTAGAGAACGCCTCGACGAGGAAGCATCCTCGCAAAGAGCCCCAATATCCCAGGAGCCATTACCAGCCACTCAAGCAGTTCGCCACCGAAGAAGTAGCTCAAGGAGCAGGCTAGGCTAGTGATGAGGCTCACTAGGGAACTAGCCACTGTCGCTGTGAACATGAGGGCCATATCCCGACAAAACGCTGCAATGCAAGAATTGCTAACGCAAGTTCAATTGGCTAACTCGCAAAACAATGAGGAGGTTGTGCCGCCAGAAAGAGAGGTGGATGTGGATATGGGTACCAACTTTGTCACCAATTAAATGACCGAAGAGGCTGCCATTCCATCAGAAAATAGTAGGGCAATTATAATAAGGAGGTCGGCCAGTATCTTTGATAGACTTGGTTTTACAAGAAACGGGCAGAATTGATCCCACATTTCGCCCACTCAAACCAGATCTCCTCATATTCCCCTGAGCTATCCACATCTGTTCAATCCCTATCATTGGGAAATCAGCATGGACAACCTCAACCAGAAGCCATATCTGAGCTCGCTCATAGATACATGCAACTCTTGCCTAGGAATAGGCAAGAAAGACGATCCGCACTAGCTTGGATGCAAGCCAACCCAGGCTGACCGTGCAAGAAGAAAAATATAAGCCCAGGGAGATGTGCCTCCAAAAATCGGCTATTCTAGACAAAGCCCTCTTGCGAAAAGAGGCACTAAGACATATAACAGCCAGTTCAAACTCCATAACCTCAACAGACATGAATCAACCTTCACAGCAAATCAATGAATCAAGGGCACAAGCCTCACAGAAAAATGATCCACTGGCTTCTCCATTCCATCCAAAAGATGTGGTTAGGAGAAGGAAGTTTTTAAAACTATTGCCATGAGAAAGATAAAAAACCTAACCTAAGAAGATGAGCTCCAACTGTGGCCATCTCAGGCTAAATTCTCTTGTGGAAAGAGGCACTAAGGTATATAATTGTCGAAGTAGGCCCTCTAATGCCAGCCAATAAGAGCTGACCTCTTAGCAAGTCAGTGGTGAAAAAGTGCAATCTGCTGTCTTCTCCAGTCAAGGAAGTTATGGCATAAGTCTCATATAATTATATTGTTTGTTGAAGCTTTGGCTCAAAAGGTGAAGACCGACCCTCCTATTGTTGATGGGTTAAAGACTTCGACCCCATTTAGAGAAGGCAAAAAGAGGAAGGTCAGAATAGGTCAAAGAGAGCATGGCCCCACCTTATGTATAGTCTCAAATAGAACAGTGCACTTGAAAAATGAGTGTTCAAAAAAGATAGGAAGAAGAAACTATCATTGTAAGACTGCCCTATATAGAAAAGGTTAAGGGAGGACCCTATAGGACCGCCTCATGAATATGCGAGCCCCATTTGACCAACTGTAGAGGAGGACCATGCATGAGCCTTCAACTCAACTTTGTGAAATCAGAAGAGAAGCGGTTGCAAGTGTCAAGACTTCGACCTGGGTAACAGGATCAACCCTTTTACCTTAAAAATAAATACATAGCAAGCCTTAGAAGCTCCAGAAAGTAGGGACCCCAACT